CCCGGCGATGGATGCTGGTCGCGTCGGTTGCGTATCGCGTTTTGCTAGCGTAACGTCGCTTGCCAAGCGTGCCCTCTCATGCAAGAAGAGAGGCGCCCGCATCGCATTACCTTCTAACACTGTCATTTGCTCCTGAGGGAAGAAGCTCTAAGCATCTCTCCGAAGGGAACCCTAATGGGATGTGAAGCAGCAGCGGTGCGCACGGCGTTGACCCGGTTAAAATGGGCATCGATGGAGGTGTTCGGAAGAACGGTTTGACGCGAAACACGGCGTAGCGTTTACTCGAGTAAACGTTTTTAGGGGTGAAGCTCCTTAGGGTCGATCAATGTCCCCTGTCCGTCGGCGTGACACGCTTGGCACATATCCGCTCTAGAGTAGGTGTGTGCCACAGGAGATGCGAGATGGTGGTACTAAAGTGTTCACTAGAGGGACGCACAAACAGACGCATGGACGGACGGCCAGACAGACTGGAAGATGGACGGACGGGTGGATGGACGCGCGGACGGACGGAACCAAGAACGAACGGACAGGACAGGCTGCAGGCCGCTTCGTCCCACTTACCATCACAATAACACAGGAGGTGGGTTGGCTTTCACCTGAGGTTCATCGAAGATAAACGGGCCGAAAGAGTGTTTCCATTTGACGTGCGGTTGAGCGTTGCGGGCGGAGGAGAAAGGGAATGGAGAGAGAAGTGTGTTGTGAGCATATGAAGGAGCCGGCAGCGGCGGTCCCTGCGGTGAGCGTGCCTGCGGGTGAGAGAGAGAGAGAAAGTGACGGCAGCTCGCAACTCCAAGGAAAGTGTGCGAGGGGAGCGTGAAGTCAACGTGCAGCTGCGGTGTGACCTACTTGGCACCGCTTCAACACCTGCAGTGAGGCGAGCACGTAGCGGTGCGTTCAGTTCGGACGCACATACGTACGGCGTATCACACGGGTCTCACAGAGCTGCTTCGCCTCTAAAAACCTTGACCCTGATGCATTTACAAGCGACTCGAGAGCCAAAGCTATCTTTGAAATGGAGAGCATTTTCTGCTGTAGCAAATCAAAAGCACTGAGGGTTCCAGCCTGCCTACCTATCTTTTTAACTAGCCACAAACGTCTGGGTGCTCTCGTAGTTAGCCTCTTTAACTTGGTATAGACCGAAATCGGCGCAAGCCCCGCCGCGGTGGTCTAGTGGTCAAGGTACTCGGCTGCTTACCCACAGGTCGCGCAAATCCCGGCTGCGGCGGCGGCATTTCCGGTGGAGGCGGAAATCTTGTAGTCCCGTGTGCTCAGATTTCGGTGAACACTAAAGAACCCCAGGCAGTCGAAATTTCCGGAGCCCTCCACTACGGCGTCTCTGATAACCATATGGGGGTTTTGGGACGTTAAAACCGACATATCAATCAATCAATCAATCAATCAATCAATCAATCAATCAATCAATCAATCAATCAATCAATGAAATCGGTGCAGGCGTGAGGGTGTGAGGAAAACGACGTTCCAGTCAAGACATTAACGTGAAAATCCTGTTGTGCACGTCATAAAACCCTTTCCTGTAGTCACTCATCACAAATACCTGTATTCCCCGGGGTTTAGTGTGCGGGTATGCGCGACAGGTGAGTAAAAATTTACATGTACCTAGGAACGGCGAGAACAATCACAGTATATTTAAACGCGGGAACATCACGAAAAATTGGGGGATGCTTAAGCTTCGCATTTGGGAGTTTAACGCGAACGGTAGCCTACTTCAACCACTTAGGGCTTGTTTTTGTTGTGAGATGTTGCTCGACAAGTTTAAATGGTAGATTATCAAAATGCAATCGATAAAAATTAAGCGACGGGTGCTGTCATTGAACCGTTGGATATGGCTGCACTCTGTGTAATAAGTATCATGCTTTAAACCACGAGAATTTGTGCACGTGAAAGCTTTTCAAACTTGCTACGCGCCCACTATGGGGTCGCAATGAAATACGTGCAGTAACATCTGTTCCACGCAATATTACTCCGATATTACAAGTTGTGTTGTGAAACCTGTATATAGGACTTGTGTGTTGGGGGGTAAATCACGAGTGTTACTTTCCCGGCATTTCGAAGCAGAGGAAGTTATTTTCAGGAACGTATGCGCACACATAGAGGACACATACTAAAACAGCAAAAGAAAAAAAAAATTGGCCCCGTATCTGCATAATAATCAGCAGATTTCGCCGAAAGACGATAGTCTTGCGTGTGGAGAGAGTGAACAAAACGTTTATTTGTTGTTCTGCGCAAGACAATTGGTGAATGGTATTCTGAAGACGCTGCGTTAGAGTGCCTCGAGTGTCCAGCGGAGGCAAACGAGGGCATTGAGTCACGTCACACGTGAGACATGAGCGCCATCTGGCAGTTTTTTGGAAGACGAAGCGGGTGGCTCTGAGACTGGTGTGCGCGCCCGTCTCAGAGGGGATAAGGTGTTGAACGCAAGGTGACGGGTAGGTGCCACCACCGTCTCGTCTTAGCAAAGCGTTGGAAACACTCGCCTTTTCGTGCAAGCGTTGCATGATCAGCGCCGCGGGATAAGCGCTACAGTCCTTAAAATTACTTTTGTATGCGTTTTCTAGTAAAAGACGCACATGCAGATTATATACGTCTTGTTATGATGTCCGGACATGCGCAATAATTGATTTTTAATTGACAATTGCAAAAGTATGAACGCTAAACCTTGAGCAACATTGGTGGGCGCTGCGAAAGGGGTCAACCGTTTCAAATACCCGGTGCCGTTAAGAGTGGAAAACAGACAAATGCACAGACAGACAGACCAAAATTTTTGCGTTGAAGGACCCGAAGAAAGACTATCGTCTTTAATAAGCCGGCAACAACGAAGCGAAGCATTCTCGGCGCCTAAGGGGAGCCATGCTGTATGGGTATTCCGAGTTCACGGTATCGTTATCTCAAAGGTGGATTCGCCCCTGCTTATCAGCTGGAGAACGTTGCCACGGTGGTGATAAACAAGGACGAAAACTGCAAGGAAGGCACGTAAGCGGCGCCGCGCATGCTCAGATGGGGCCCGTTTTGAACTGCAGATGTCGCTCGTGCTGTTCCGAGGGATTCTCTGTGGTTCTAAACATGACTGTTCACCGCTCCGCATCCGTCGGCGAGGTTAACTGGAACGCGCCGCAGCATGGGTAGGACTGGTTTGACTTACGCCAGCCGCAAAACGCTGGGCGCTGTTGCCGACATAACACTTTGGTTGTCTTGAATGGTATGTGGGAATTTATTGGTAACATCTCGGCGACAGAAGCAAAAACTATTCAGCACCGGCGCGTGTCAATTATTTTCGGGACACGCTGCGTAGCGTCGAGTTAAGCTTGCTGAGGACATCGCATATCAGTGCCACAATATGTTTAAGTGCTGTCTTCGAAGGTGATTGTGAGCCAGTGATCGGTGCATCGGTGCAACTGAGCTTTGTCTCAGCAGCAACATTCGTCCGCAAGGTAAGTAGCTGCATGAATATTCACTTTCAAAACAGCCATTGGTTATGCTATGGCATCAGCTACGCTATGTGGTTATCGGCTATGCTAAGCTATGGCATCGCAGAAAGGCTGGCGTTCAGTCAATGTTGCCGTGAGGATTTCTCTTTCGTCGTGACGCTGTAATGCTTGGCGAGTAACAACAAACACTGACTGAGACGCTAGTCTGTGCACGTTTGTGTATTAATGAACAATTCTTGAGGCAAGTTGAACCATATTTCCCTCCATATCGCCCCAAAAATTGTGTTGTTTCACTCCCAAATTAAGGTTAGCCCATTCCAACCTAATTTGTTGTCTACGCAGCAGTGCGTATTTTTGTCGGTAAGCTGACGCACCTTTTGCGTCATAGACACAATTTCGCCTCCTCCAACATTGCTGGGGAACTCGCCAAAGAATGTTGCGCATTACCCACTTCCATTGATGTGTCTACGCGTTGTTTTTACGCCGTTTTGCAGGTACGAGTTTGTTACTGCAATAACATGTTCTTCACGGGGTTTGCTAGCTAATTCTATTCCTTGTCCACTGCTGTCCTTTGGAGAAGAAGCTCAGCCAACGTTTTCTTGGGATATTTGATGATCCTCGCGTTGCGTGGTGCCACTTCTTTCAGCTCGTAGTTTGCTTTACCGTCAATAGCAGTCCCGAAGTCCACAAGGTGAAAAAGCGTTAAGAAAAAGCTTCTATAGGCAGCATTGACCCTACGAATGCAAATGATACACTTCAGTATCCCAGTAGGAATCTAATCCTAGTAGTATGCGTACCGCAGAGCCACGACAGGTTTCGGAACTGCTTTTCCAATAAACATGAACGTTTGTGAAACGTTGATTAGGTATGCTGTGATGGATATGCTATTTATAAACATTACTTATGTACTGCTATCATACATCAGGTCAATGTGAATTGTAGTTATAGCAATATCCCCTGAAGTTTACTTATGTAGCAGTGTCTTGGGATACCGTCCTCGCGAGCACCAGGACTTGATATCACCTTACCGCTTCTGGTGTGTCTGTTGCTATCGTTGTGCAACTGTATACGAATGGTTATATAAAACATACGCAGCTGTTTCACGTATGTCTGTGTGTGCACTTGTATGCATCTTTAGCACCACTTCGTAACGCTTCGTTCAATAAAATAATAGGCCCCGGACTTCACCTCTCAAACTCTGGTCGTTCAGAGGGCCTGCGCTAAGGAACCTGACCGTCCCCGAGCAGGCCTAGCCAGGTGACGCTGAGTTAACTCGCGTCTATTGTGGAAATACTAAAGTTATTTCACTCACTCACTCGCACTGTCACCTTCCTTACGCATGCTTCTCATAACATCGGTTCCCAAAGTACGCGGGTTCTGCCGAATTTTCGTTGTTCTACGATATTCATTTAAACATTTGACAAAGATTCGTTCTTGCACCGCCTCGAATTGCTCGAGGTAGTTTGAAATATGCACCGTAAAAGCAGAAGATGGCTTTGGTTGATTTAGCGAGTAATTTTCTATAGAATAGGTTCATGACATTCTGAAGCTATAGCCTTGGGTGCAAGAAGCTTTTATTCATTGAAAAAGCCGATGACATCCGTGCAGTGATTTTTTTATGTACACGACTGCTGTTGAAATAGCAACGCCTATGTATCTGCAAAAAAATAAAGGTCGTTAAAAGTGCGCTACTAAAAATCAGAAATGAGTAAAGCACACTCTTGGCTTTTGAAAGGATTCATCAGCCTGTATTGAGCTAAGATGTAGCCTGAACATATTATAGAATACGTAATTCAGTCACTATCAGTGCTAAATGAAGGAAGGTCGCGATGGGTAGCGTGAAAGTGTGTATGTTGTCAGGCATTATGAAACAAGATAAGCGGTGAAAGTTTGAAAAAATTTAACATGTGAAACAGCAGAATTGAACCAGTCCTTACTATTCAAAGGCGTCATCAAGCGCTGAAGGAGTGCACCACTTCAACCCTCGCATGCTTGAAAAACTAATTAGTGGTAGAAGCTTTTTTTTTTCTCGCTGAAATGCGGATATACGTACTTTGAGTCAGGAGAGAATACGCTTTCCGCGTTTTAACATTTTGAAACAAAAGTAATATGATATGGCCTCATGTGAGGACGCATAAAATTGAAGCAGGGCAGCGAATAAAACGATGATACGACCGGGACCCGACAACACTTTCGCCCTGCACTCATACAACTATGAAAAGAGGTATTTTTCATGAGGCTTGTTTCTTTGTTAGAAGCACTGAAAGACACCCAGTAGACGGTTAAGCCAAAGCGAAAATAGGGGAAATAACAAAGAAAAAAAAGCTTATTGTTGCCTTTGCCAGCAAGAACTTGCAAGTATAAACCACCGTAACAGAAGCTCATCAGCACTGCTATAAGTAAACAGGGTGCGTGCTGATGAAGGAGAAGCTATGCAGTATGTTTAGAAGATTCTGGCATTCATGGGGCTGAGGCCGAACGCGTAGTAAGCTCATCGGTGGAAAATTTGAAGTTATTTACCATAACGCATGTATACAGCTACAAAAAGCACACTTGTGGCACTGCACAAATTTGTGAAAGGCTCCCTACCGATGTTATCGTGAGGGGAAAAAGACACATCTATAGTGGCTGTTAATGTAAACTATAAATTGAGAATAAACAAAAGACCCCGGAAGAAGTAAAGCAAACAAATACAGTGCGAAAAAAATTCACAGCAGTTACGAATTTTTTCTGCAGTAATTAAAACTAAATCGCGTCTTTACGGGAAAATATCGGGACTGCGAGGTAGTATGGGCTTTGCTAAATTTTGGGAACGAGGGAGTTCTTAAGTGTGAACGCAGTCATCAGTTCCAAGATGACTTGGCGCTCAGCAAGTGCTTAAACTTAGGCCAGGTGGCTGAACCGTGTGACAGAAGGAGAGAAACAGACCATAAAAACGTTTTAGAAAATTATTTAACGGGGTTACACTGGTTAGAAAATTACATTACAGAAAGGACACTGGTTAGAAACAGGTGTATATTTAAAGCCTATTTCTTAGTACAGAAATAATCCGTTATTTTCTTTTACTCGCTGGGGAGTCGTCGCAAAGTGTATGTGTCCTTTAGCACCTGTAACTGCGAACCACTGTTTTATAAGAAATGTTAGCAAACAGCGCATTTTAACGAAGAAAAGTGGAGAGTTGGGCGTAATACGAGCGCCGACTTGAACGGGAGCACTCGTGTTGTGTCCGAGTCGCTCTTTGTACTCGTGTGAAGTGCGCTTGCATTTACGTTGCACCGATTGACATAATCTTGCCAAATTCTCAAAAAAAAAAAAAACCCTAATTGTCGATTTCTTTTCCGACAAATGCTTCCCCAATTATTGTATCTAGTACAACTGGAGTACCCTTTGTTCTCATGAAATTCACGAGAGCAGCATTGTTGGTGACACAAGTAATTGTTGAGAAAGAAAGAGAGAAGAAATATTTATTGAGATACCGAGAATTTAGCTGGCTAATTCAAATCGCCGACTTGTTATTCGGCGTGGGGAAGGGCATAGGTGACTGAAAGTAGGGAGAGAGAAAGAAATGACGCAAGATGCTAAAATAGAATAGAAGATGTAGAAAAAAAGACAGGTAATATTTTTAGGTCTCTTGGGCGGGGACGCTAATTATTGATCGAGGAAGTCACCCACATTTTGCAAGCTTTTAGCGGAGAAGCAGGAGCGGAAGTGGTTACATGCGGTACTATTTGCTGCTCTTGATTTAAAAATTTACCGCTTTTCTGTCTAAGGCCTCTCCCTGCTTAAGCTACAGTGCACCCCTTGTAGGTGACTGTACAGGTATGGTAAACATTTCCGGGTAAAGTGTAAATCAGGTGTACTACGTTAATAATCAGTGCTGTCCAATGAAAGACGACGGAGCTCATTGAAGGTGAAAAAATGTCGTACTATGGTGAGTCCCAGACTCAGGTATTATTTCGGTAAAGGACAATAATGAGGTGATAAAAATACGTACTACCTAACAGGTTTCATTTTGCTCGTAGTCTTCGTGGTCAAGTCCACAGTATAATTTGCAGTCGTGTTCATTGTCAAAGCTGTTGCATGTTCCTCGTTCCTCGTCTATGTTTCCAGCAGTCATTTCGCAGCTTTGGGTTTCGGTATTAAAGTAAAAAATTAGCGTTCTGATATATCCTCGGGGTTCTGGTTTAGGGCAGTCCCAACAGGCTGAAACAAGAATAATGTAAGCATTTCAAATTGACAAAGTTTGGAAACTATGGTGAAAGTTAATAGCCCAAGATATAGTGAACTTTTGCGGTATCTGAAGTAGTGAACACGTATAAGCGGTTCGAAACCCAAGGAACGATCCTGTGAAGCTGTAATTGAACACTTCAACATTGACTTCCCCATTCCCGATTTACGGCAATGGGGAATTGCAAGGTGGCAGCTGTTGTATGACCAAATTAAAAGAAAGTCACCGATGTAAAAGTAAAAAAAAATGTTTTCTTTCCTAAAACGAAAAATGCAATGATGAAATTTGCGATAATAAAAGAATTGCTTATTCGTTTTCGATTTCCGCACAAAGGTAATTTTTAATAGGACCACTACGCGGTGAAAATCACCTCTCAATATGAACAAAATTGACAATTTTGCGAAATTTGCGAGCTTTTCTCGTAAAGTTGAGCAGCTTGAGAGGTCTAAAATTTTTTTTTTTTCAAAATATACCTCAGTGGAGCAAGTATTTATTGTTAGGATATTGATACAAAGTGCTGTATTGCAATAAAATTGCAAACATAACACATTTTGGCTAAAGTCTTCAAGGTGTATGTGTCAGTGGAAGTGCACAAAATATTACTGAGCTTCAAACACCCTACACAAGCCTATTTACTTAACATATAAACGGAAATTAGTATACAAAGCAAGAGCGGTACTTTTAAAACATTTTTTTCAACAAAAAACGCCCAAACGACATTCTAAGAAGTTCAGAAGGCAGCCACGTGACCAACACCGTTTTTTCTCTCTAAAATATTCTAATGGTTCACTGTTTTTGATGCAGGGAATCAGCACGATCTTTTTTCGAATACATTTGAGATCGTCGCCAAAATCACTGGGACGTTTGGCCTGGAATGAGCCTAATAGAAAAATATTTTCTTTTCACAGAGTACATTTCTTGCTAAGTGGCCACTGCTTGAAATACAGTATAGTGAAACATGTCAATAATATTTAAAATGACACCATCGTACCCCTTGAAACACGAAGCGACAAAGGTATACTCACTGTTTATTGACGCATGCTCGGTGATCTCATATCAACTACAGTTGTGAGTCCTATGACTTCATACCAAAGCACAAGGTAACGCATGCTGAAGCTCAGTCAGGAGAACAAATCCCTTATTGTAAAAATGACAACTTACCATCTGGGTAGCTGCAAGTGCCGTTCCTGTAGCAGTCTGTAACGAAACCGAAAAGAAAGAAGGTCACTTGGTTTATATTGGAGTGAAAACTCATTTCAAGAGGGCGCCATTCTAGTACAGATAGCCGGGCAATAAAACCATCTGTTTTTGAAGAGCTTAAGGTAATAGTTTTGCACTGTTTTCCACATGTGCTTTGTGAATGATTTGAAAAAAAAAAAAACTGACAAGCCATGCAATACGTCGCGCAAGCCTCGAAAGCACGAAACTTGACGATTCTCAATATAATCTGGTTGCTAGGTTGCTTCTAGGTCATTGCTAGGATTAGCTAAGTGGCGATAGCTTGTTTTCACATTGATTCTCAGCGCAGAGAGCTTTGAGTAGAGCCACAAACTACAGACATGAAACGGGAACGTCGGCGTTGGCGTAGGTCGTCCATCACTTCGGTGTTTCCTCGCAGCAGCCATTCACTTTGCCATTTCCTAATATTCTTTCGTTACAGCATATATACTCGGAGCCTTCAGCCGTCCACTGTCGCTTCCTCGTATTTTTAGTGTAGGTTGCGTGTTGTGGGACTTTCTGCGAATTTTCTCGACGTATATTCGTTAAAAATGATGATAGTTGTAATTTTCGGTGTGATCAAGGAACGACTGGCTAAACAGATTCACTGGTAAAAGCAGCGAGCACCTGCAAAACCTATGTCCAACGGTAGTATCCCCGTTGCAATGTAGTCAACAAAAACCAGAAAAAAAAGCCTGGGAGGACGCAAAAAAGTGACTACTTCGTCTGGTTGGCATTACAGTTTCGAGGACGCTTGAGGACGCTTGGAGGATTCTTGAGAACGCTTGGAGGACGCTTGAGCTTTGTGATCAACAGTAGAACGTGATACCATAGTCTGCCCCGTGTGCATCGTGTTTTCAATTGCTAGCCTAGCTTCGGTTCTGGGAACATGCCTCAACTGTACCGTAAGAAAGCGAACTACTGTACCAGTGACATAGGCTGTTTTAGGCTATTCTGGCATACCTACTGCAAGTATTGTTCAGTGCCCACTACGCCATAATTCTTTCTTTTGCGAATAGTGAAGGGACCACTATGCGACTTTGAGGAAACATGCGAAGCTTCACAGCCGCTCCTTTTAATGCGAACGCGTTTGAGAGCTCGTTTACCAGAAATTCCGCTGTCGGCGTCGTTGCTTGTGAGCGAAAAATCGTCATATTGTGTGAGACCAAGAAATCTAAAAAATTTAAAGTAAAGTTAATAATAAAAAATTTATGCCCAAACGGGGATTGAACTCGGGTTGATTGTGAGCGAAGTGGGTGTTCTACCACAGAGTCATGCGTATGTTGTAAAAAAATAATATTAAATTTATGCGTAATAAAATAGTATACAATATCAAGCAGAGTTGCAATGTTGCACTTTTATAGCGACAGTAAGCGTACAAGCACTGCTAGAAAAAAACTAAAGAACGTTGAAGTCTCTCTATGAATATAGTGAAAATACCTTTCTCTGATTGGAAAATCAGGAAAAGTAAGTCATGTTTTACAACACAAGCGTCATGTTTACATGCTTTACGATACAACATGAAATATTGCAGTGATAATACGTGGTAAAGGCGTACATTATCATCGGGAGTCATAACTTGTGAGTAACATAATGACTTCACGTATTATGGCTTTATGGGCAGCTAAGTCAACCACTACACAAGACACACATGTTACAGCCCCTATTCCCTTAAGGCCACGTAGTGGGTGCATAGCAAGTTTGAAAACATTTCATGCAATAAGTGTTTCAAGTATGCGCTAGAGACATAATATCGTTATCACGGCTAAACTTGAAGATCCCCGTCTTTTTTGGTGATGCTTTTGCGGTTTTCGATGATTAAACATGTCAGTGCGCTTTGTATTGAGCCGGTCTTTAAATCACCTACTCGCTGCAATTCAGATGTTTATGCTCATGGCGCGCTTCCATCTTTCTGCCATGCGTTCAGGAGACTCCTTCCAATAGCTGACATTCATATAGTGTTTTTTTTTCTGAAGCAGTTTCAAGCAATACTATGGCTTTGTGCCTATGACGCTTGCCACTCAGACAGCCTAGTATCAATCCCCGTTTGAACTGAAATATTTTATTTGTTTTCTTTACATTACATGACATTCACATAGTGCTTTTTTCAGTTTTAAGTTGTAGCATAACATTGTGGTAGAACATTTGCTTGCCACGCAGACTCCAGGTTCATTTCCATTACCTGAGGCTCTTTTACGTGCTCCGATATTCAAGTAATAGTAAGGTGGTTTGGATTTTGCTCCCATCCAAACTCGGCTCTTATGGCAAGTAATTGAACCCATGTTTTTGAGATTAGCAGCACAACAACATGCCTGTACCACTATAAATGTATGTTTCCAATCCATTTAACCAATTTGGAGGCATCAATTAGTTTATGTGGACATATGTGAAGTTTGAATCAGACTGATTTGCCCTTGAGATGGGGACGTGCTGCTGACTCCGAGGTTCCTTGTACGCATGCCTTGGTATCTTCGTTCTTAAAAACATTTCAGTCACTTGCAAGAAATTATTCCTTTGTGGTGATGTGCAGATAATCAATACGATCTTGTATAACACAATATTTCTCTATAATTTAATCGTAATGACAGAGAGAATCTTACCCTGTTTAGGCATTTTAGCAGCTTGAACGGCTATAAAAACAGGTCTCCACGCAGAATACCATAGCGAATACTGCTACCAAAGCGAAGGTGCGCATGGTTGGAATCTGCTGATTCACTGAAAGATACCACTGGGGAGGCGGCAGTGCTCAATAAATACAGCAGGGTATGCAAGAAGAAATACAAAAAAAATGTGCACCTATACATACGAGACAACAAAGCATCAGGAACGGAATAAAAAAAAGTAAAGCGTATTGAGCAAAGCAAGGGCAAAAATCAGCTGCTTTCCCAGTAGACTTATTTCCTGGTTTTAAATAAAAAGAATGCAACCGCGCTTTGTGGGAGATAAGCACACCTGATAAAAAATTACCGACTTCAGTACTTCTATGTGTACTTCCTTTTTCCTTCCACCGAAAGTGCCTTAATATTTATTACGCTGTCAAGCAAAAGTCCGATTTACCACATGTTGCACACTTTGCGTGACGCGTATGACGCAGGCTCTTCTGTGTACAGCTCACCGGAAATATTAATGGGAACATTGTGTTGTAAGTACCAAAGTTGTATTCATCGATCAAGTTGTCAAGCAAAGGTATGACTTGCCGCATTGAACATTCCACTTGACAATTGTGACGCAGTCTCTTCTGTATACAGCTCACCGGAACTATTAATCAGAACATTGCACTGTCAGCAGCAAATTTGTGCACATTCATTACGTTGTCAGGCAAGGACTTGATTTAGAGTTTTGAACTTGTTGCTTGATGAGTGTGACAGAGTGTGGTCTGCATACAGCTTGCCGGAAGTATTAATGACGAGGTATTGCTTGGGGATGGCAAGAAACATGAATCAGAATAAAAAAAAAAATTGAGGTAGCTTCACACTAGTGGCGCCAAACCTGAAGAAGTAATGAATGGCCCGCCAAGTTTCTATTTATTTCTCTTTTTTGTTCTCTTTCTTATATATATTTCACTATGTTTTTATGCGCTTATTATCATTGCGTCTTTCTATACTTTTTTTTGCTCACTATTCATTTCTTTTGTTGTCTGACTTCTCTATTTTTTTCCTTTTCTGTAGCTCTCTTTCTACTTCTCGTATCTTCTTTCTTTCTAGTTTTTGTCTATCTCTTCTTCTACTCTTTTTTTTCTCCATCCTTCGTTACTTCTCTGTATTTATCTTCCTCTGTTCTGCTCTCTGTTTTTTCATTTCTATTATATCTTTGTTCTATGCTGCTTCTTCGCTCTATTTCTATATATTTGTGTATAGGTTTGTTTTTATTTAATTTGTTTTTCTCCACTTGGTTTTTTGCTTCTTCTCTGCGTGTCTTTCTCTCTAGTGCTTTCTCGTCTCACTTGTTCCTTTGCCTATTCGAGTTATTGCATCCCGAGCCAGGTAAACTGTCCCATTCGTTAGTGAGAGCAAAGCAGAAAAGGAAGAAGAGTACGAAAAGAGTGCACGCTCGCAGGGCCGATTTATTTCGATCATAATAGTGATAGTTTTTTTACACGACCGACGGAGTTTCCTCTCGCGAATAAATTGGATATCGTTTTTACATGGTGCTGGGGTTACCCAGTATTTGGTGCGTATACTCGACTCAGTATTTTAGGTCGCAGGACAAGGAATAATCATCTAAATAGCTTCATTGCTAAAAAAATATAGTTTTATGCAGAAGTGAAGGAATCGATGCGACAGCAATAATATGTAAGGTAACTCTGGCAGGTAACTCTTTTAGGTCCTTCTTCGTGTAACTCTGCAAAACGCTGGTGTATAAATAACGCAGCTTGCGCAAGGAGGCATGCGCTTTTCTCCCGATACTTAACAGTGTGGCCTATAGCATACTTAACAGTGTGGCCAATAGAGAGATTTTAGGTGCCCTTTGCATGTACTTGTGTCATTTTTGCGAAGTTAATTTGGAATATCCTTGAAGCACAATGAAGATATTCTTTTTGAAAATTGGTGGCAACATGTGTAGGTGCATGCGTGTGTCCACGCCTCAAAAAGATGACACCATTAAGTCAGTACGTGGGAGTTTATTCATGTCTCATGGCTGGTGCTTTAACGTTATAAACGACACCCGTAGTCCAGACGACAAAGGCCAGAACGTCCTATACCACGAATTTTTTCTGTTGTCGAACAGTTGCAGTGCATTATGGCTATATATGCTCTTGGGGAGGCAAACGCTGAGAACACGCTTTCTGAGACCCACACTGACACCGTCAGTGTATTGGAGTGGGTAGTGAAAGTGGTCGGTGCATTCAGGAAAGCATCGAATTCCTTGCACAGTGGGCCGGATTCAATGCTCAGATCCGAACTCGTACATAACAGCAATACTGTTACGGTTGAGGGTTGGGTGTGTGCCGTAGCTAGAAAAAAAATATTTACCATCAGGAACCGTTTTGTTTTGTTTTGTTTCCCTGGGATGTTGGCTCATACCCACTCAGGGGGATTGGCCATGAAAGTGTAGTGCAGTTTTTCTGTGATCATTTTAACTATGTGTAATGAATTGGTATTATATTAAGACTAATGTAAAAATAAAAAGAACATAAAAAATCAAGTTGAGCAATTTTGAGATATGAGGTGTTATGATTACTACTCAGCTGCGTTTACTTCACTCTGCCCTGGGGAGTAATAAATAATTTTTTTTATTGAAGATCACAAAGGTATACGCTTGGTTGCCTGAATATAATCGCAAACGGCATTGAAAGCATCCCTGTGGCAATGTCCCAAAACTGAGGCACCAAAGCTTAGCGCCGTTTCCGCCGTCAATCTAAGGCATATTTTCCGAAATGGCATAACTAGTAACCTTTTTCTAAGTATATCGTTGCGGCGACAATACAAAAAATAATGATCTAGTGATTCCATTTCTCTGCAGAATGCGCAGAGGGGTGATGTTGTCTGACCAGCTCTGTGTAGATACAGGTTTAGGTGGGGGGGGGGGACACGACATCGAAATTTAGTAATTAAGACTTCGAGCTTTCTGGACTGACTCCAGTGGGGTTGCCATGGAAACATGAGGTGGTTATAGTCTGTCCATGTAGTTACTTTTTTTATCGTATCAGTGGAGATTGCTAATTTTCGATATCTTATTGCCATGATATATTCCACATCTGGCAGTATGGACAAAACTGGCCCTTCAAGTGCGGCTCGTGCTAAGGAATCGGCCAATTCATTTAATCTTAATCCACAGTGTCCCGGAACCCATAGTAATCTCAGGAGTCTCAACTGCGGGGGTACTAATGTTTTGAATGTGCTTAGAATTCGAGAGTTCTCTGAAGCTGTCAGAGCTGCACAAACTGAAAGAGAATCCGTCATTATGACTGCGTTGTTTTGATTTGATGGAAGTTTTCGAAGAGCTAAAATAATCGCCAAGAGCTCCGCTTCAAAAACTGGAGTAAAATCAGGCAGTCTCACTGAAAAGGACCAGTCAAGCGAATCAGAGGCAATGCCTACACCTGCCTTTTGATTATTTACGGAAGCATCTGTGGCTATTATATTTTTAGTTTCTGCATGCTCCAAGTAATCTAATAATATGTTATTTAAAAATTTGCTAAATTGTAATTTGGCGTTTTGGGGGAATATATCATCATACTCAATAATAACATGACAATTCGAGTCATTAGTCTCAATTACATTTCTAATGTGCGCATTTATACTTTGTAGATTTTTTTGTACAAACATTATCTGAGGTGTGTGAAACCGTGGCCAATGAGCAAGAAAGAAGGCGTCTGGGTTTGCGACAAAAGCATATTGAGATCTTCTTGCCGGTAAGCTATAAAATTTTAAAAATGCTTGTACGGTCAAAATTCGAAATCTACAAAGTAGTGTAGGCAGGCGCGCTTCCTGGTACAGTACGTTGATAGCCACAAATCTAGGGAGTCCCAGACACATTCGCAGTGCTTCTCGCTCCAAGACAACTAGATGTTTCGTTTTATAAGCAGGGCCACCCGAGAATAATATGCAGCCGAATTCCATGATGGGGCGCACATAAATCTTGTACAACTTTATCAAGGTGTGCCTCCGTAACCCATATTTCCGGTTACTTAGCTTGTGTAGTAAGCCTGAAGCCCGCTGTGCTTTGGTAGTTATATACTCTATGTGAGGACTCCAGTTAAGTTTGTCGTTATAAATGATTCCCAAATATTTTATAGAGTGTACTTGCTGGATGGGTTCCTGTTTATATAGAATTGAAATCAAAATTGGTTCTGCAAGCGGGAACGCCATGAGCGCGCTTTTGTTGACATTTAACGATAACGAAATCGACTGCAACCAAATTTCTACCATGTTAATATATCTTTGTAATTTAAGTTGTAGTGAGTAAATACCATAGTCAGCAGCAAAGAGTGCGATGTCATCAGCATAAATGTAGACAGTAACTTCTTGATCGGTTGTAATTGTGCTCATTAAAGCATTAAATAATATTGGAGATAAGACTGCTCCTTGGGGAACTCCGCGCGTTTGTTTAAATCTAGATGAGGAACATCCATCCTTGACGCAGTAGAATTCTCTTGATTTTAAGAATTCTGCCACCCACTCAATAAAATATTGTGGGAAGTTCAATCTCTCTAGCGTATTTAACAATATGAAGTGCTCCACACTGTCATACGCCTTGGCTATGTCAAGCGTTACTAAAGCAGCGTATTGCCTTCTTATTACGCGCGAGCTGTATTCGGCTCTCTAAATCAGCATGGGCACACTAAATAGAGAAATCACTACGAAAGCCGATTTGGTTCGGTTTTATTACTAAATTGTCTGCCATGCAGATACTTACTCGGCTATGTAGGACCCTCTCTACTAGTTTGACCATGTTAGATGGTAGAGAGATTAATCTGATATTATCGACTGTTAATCCTCCACCCGGGTTTTTTAGTATAGGAATCACCTTTGCTATCCTCCAATCCTGCGGCACCCATGAGTTTTTTAAGGAGTAGTTAATAACATTGGCGACGTCTCGAGGCGATAAATTGAACAGAATTTTAATCATGGGTACTGTGATTCCATCTGGGCCAGGAGATGCACAGGGTAAATGTTTAATCACGTTGGATACTTCAGTCTGTGTCACTTCTTCAAAGTCAGACTTTGTCGTAGACTTGTGCCAGTTGTTTGGCACTACTGAAGTGAATCTGCTTTCCAGACCTT